AAGTGCTTTTTATGTGAAGGACCTCATCGCGTGTCGGAATGTCCTCAGAAGCGGATGGTGAATGCATATTTTCAGTTAGCAAGTGGCGGGCCAAGTTCAAAACAAGAGGTCCCGCAAGCTGATTGTCATAATGAGACTGACTCTGAAGAGGATGAGAAAGTAGTTGGGGCATTTTCACATCGGTGCAACACACTATCGCATCGGGTTGCTGAAAAGGATAATGTCCCATTGAAAGAGGCAAAGATGGAAGAAGCGAAGGCTCGTATTTGTAGGGCCAAAGGCTTAATGTTCATTGATGTGAAAATCAATGGAAAGCCAATCAGGGCTATGGTGGATACTGGTGCCACCCACAGCTACCTTGCATGTACCGAAGTAGAACGGCTCGGACTGGTTCTAGAAAAGGGTAGTGGAAAAGTCAAAGCAATCAACTCCGCTGCTCAACCAATAGCTGGAGTGGCGAAATCGGTGTTGATCAAAGCAGGTCCTTTCGAGGAAAGGACAAATTTATCTGCAGTTCAGATGGATGATTTCAAACTTATTCTAGGATTGGAATTTCTTCGGGATATTAAGACAGCAGTGTTGCCATATTCCGATTCGTTAATGATGATGGGTAATAAGCCGTGTGTCATCCCTACACAGGTTGGGAGGATGGGCGAGAAGAGTATCTCAGCCATGCAATTTAGTAAAGGTTTCAAGAGAAATGAACCCTCTTTTTTGTGTACTCTTCGATTAGAGGAGGTCGAAGAGGCGAATGGTCCTATTCCAAAACCCGTTAAAAGGCTCATTCGGGAATTTGAGGACATCATGCCGGAAGAATTACCAAAGAAATTACCACCAAGAAGGACGATTGATCATGAGATCGAACTTATTCCAGGCGCTAAAGCTCCCGCCAGGGCACCATACCGTATGTCTCAGCCTGAGCTTGAAGAGCTTAGGAAGCAGTTGGGGGAAATGTTGGAGAGTGGAATCATTGTGCCTACGAAGTCGCCATACGGAGCTCCCGTATTGTTTCAAAAAAAGACTGATGGTTCTCTTAGAATGTGCTGTGACTATCGAGCCCTGAACAAGATTACTGTAAAGAATGGTTATCCTATCCCACTGGTTGTAGATTGCTTCGATCGACTGAGTCGGGCGAAGTATTACACAAAAATTGATCTTAGGTCCGGATACTGGCAAGTTCGGATTAAGGAGGGAGACGAAGCAAAGACTACGGTGGTAACCAGATATGGAGCCTTTGAATTTAAGGTGATGCCTTTTGGTTTGACAAATGCTCCAGCAACATTTTGTACTATGATGAATCAGGTACTTCACGGATTCTTAGATGATTTTGTCGTGGTGTACTTGGATGACATAGTAATATACAGCGAGACATTGGAGGAACATGTCCAGCATGTGAGGCAAGTTTTTAATCGGCTACGAGAGAATAAACTTTATGCTAAGCCGTCTAAATACTCATTTGCTCAGACATCTATCAGTTTCTTGGGTCACATCATTGAACAAGGTCAAATTCGCATGGATTCGAAGAAGGTTACAGCCATCAAAGATTGGCAACCACCAAAAACCGTACATGATGTACATTCATTTCTTGGGTTGTGCAATTACTATCGAAGATTTGTGAAAGGCTACTCAGAAATTGCACTGCCCCTTACTGAATTGACAAAGAAGGATAAGGATTGGGATTGGTCATCCCAATGCCAAGCTGCTTTTGAAAGGTTGAAGAAGTCCATGTGGATGAACCTGATTTTAGCCTTACCGGATATGGCTAAACCATTCGAAGTTCATACAGATGCTTCAGATTTTTCCTTGGTGGAGTCCTCATGCAAGAAGGACATCCGGTAGCATATGAGAGCCGAAAGCTGAACCAGACAGAACGTCGTTACTCGGCACACGAAAAGGAATTGTTAGCAGTTGTCCATTGTCTTAGAGGATGGCGTCACCATCTGCTTGGGTCTCCATTTATTGTGAAGACAGATAACACTGCAGTTAGTCATTTTATGTCCCAACCAAAACTATCGAACAAACAGGCTCGTTGGCAGAAATTCCTTTCAGAGTTCAATTTTATATTAGAGTATCGTCCCGGCTCTAGTAATCATGTTGCTGATGCTCTTAGTCGACGGGCCGATTTAGCTACCATCTACTCTGTAGCTGCTCTTTCAGGTAGCGTAGTCTCCACGAACACTAGAGACCAAATTCGGGCACTTATGGAGAAGGACCCGGCTACCCAGTATTTGGTCGACCTTATCAAGCAGGGTAAAACTAGACAGTTCTGGCTAGATGGGAAACTAGTGAAGACAAAGGGAGACCGCCTATATGTTCCTAAGGGCGGAGATCTGAGGAAATCACTAATTACGGAATGCCATGACACAATTTGGGCGGGGCATCCCGGAGAGGAACGCACTTGTGCACTACTACAACGTGCATACTACTGGCCTCAAATGCGGGACGACATTGCAACATATATAAAAACTTGTCTTATTTGTCAGCAAGATAAGGCAGATCATCAGAAAATGGCGGGCTTGCTGGAGCCCCTTTCCGTTCCAACCCGGCCATTTGAAAGCGTATCGATGGACTACATTATTGGGTTGCCAAAAGTTGAGGATTTTGGCACTATCATTGTCGTGGTGGACCGTCTATCAAAATATGCAACTTTCATTGCAGCGCCTAAGTATGTATCTGCGGAAGAGACAGCTCAACTCTTCTTCAAACATATTGTCAAATACTGGGGGCTGCCTAAGGACATCGTCAGTGATCGAGACCCTCGTTTCACTGGCATATTTTGGACTGAGTTGTTCAAACTTCTTGGTTCAAATTTGAGCATGAGTTCTAGTTTTCACCCACAATCTGACGGACAGACAGAGCGCTTCAATTCTATGTTAGAAGAATATGTTCGGCACTTTATCTCTACTTCGCAGAAAAATTGGGTAAAACTTTTGAATGCGGCCCAAATTTGCTTCAATGCCCAAAAGAGCTCTTCCACCAATAAGAGTCCTTTTGAGATTGTTACTGGCCAGCAACCGCTACTCCCTCATACAGTGGATATCAAACGAAGTACCAAGTCCCCTCAAGCAAAGAGCTTTTCTCAAGAGTGGAAATGAAATATTGAAATTGCTCGGAGTTATCTTGAAAAAGCTCAAAAACGGTATAAAAAGGCTGCAGATCTAAAGCGCCGTTTTATTGAATTCAATGTTGGAGATCTGGTAATGGTTAAGCTTCCCGACAGAAATGTTTACAAACCAACAAGAGGGAAGGACTCAAGATTGTCACCAAAATACATTGGACCATTACCCATTGTGAAGAGGATTGGAAGAGTTGCATACAGAGTTGAACTCCCTTCATGGTGTAAAATCCACAAGGTCCTTCATGTTAGTGTGTTGAAGCCATACTTTTCGGATAAGGAGGACGCATCTAGAAATGAGCCAAAGCGACCTATATTTGAACTGAAGAAAGCTGGAAAGAAGGTTGCTGAAGCTATTCTTAACCATCGAATCACTCGGGCTTCTAGAAAAGATCATCAGGAGTACTTGGTAAAATGGATGGGATGCAGCAGCGAGGAGAATACTCGGGAAAGAGAAAAAGATCTCAGGGCCTTCAAATCATTAATTGAAGCGTACCATGCATTGATGGCACCGAGGACGTCGCTAAAACAAATGGGGGAGAATGTCAAGGACCGCAGCTTTACTTAGCCCCTTGACACTATCGCAGTCGCAGTTTGCCCAACTTCGGCCGCACATTGTAAATATATTACTTCAAGTTTGAGTTGTAATTTTCTTTTCATTGTAATAGTTATTTCAATTGTAAAATAGCTCCGATATTGGTAAACGTTTAGTATGATTCCTTGTCTTTTAAACGTCTACTCCCGTCACTTGGATTTTTGTTCAGAATGCTATTATAGGGGGTATTAGTCATTCAAAAATCTTTCAAACTCACTGGTGTCCGCCCCCTGCACCAGCATTTGTAATTTTCTGCTTTCATCAATTGTAATGTTCAGTTTTCATCAATAAATGTCCAATTTACTTTCAATGTATTCAAATTCTCAATTGTAAGCTTTCTACAAAATTGCAATCAAATTTTCTTTCATCCCGACGCGATCGAGAAAAGGCGGAAGGTAGTCTAGCGGAGCAGACTACTGCCGCACGGTGTCCCTTTCTGTGCCAAGAAGAAAGGCACCCCGTGAAACCATGTTTCGTTTAAATCAAAAATTTTGATAATAATAGATAAATTATGTGGTTGAAAAGTTGATAAAAATAGAGAGTCTCATGGAATGTATGGTTAAAAATAAGTTTGGGGAAATTTGAGTTTTAGAAAATAAGGGGGCCAAATAGGAGTTAAACTTAAGTCTCTGTTTGAAGACTATTTGCAAAATCACCATTTTTATACTCAATTTTAAATTCACATTTTTCCCAAAAAAATAAAAATAAAAAAATATATTTTTACATTTTTCTAGAAATTTTCATACCTCTTAACCATGCTTTTTCAAAAGATTACTAAGAACCTGTTTGGGAGTGATTTTGAGAATTGATTTTTTGACCGTTAGAAAAAAAGTGGGGTCCACCTGTGAGAGAAGAAGTCAAATATGACGGCTGGAATAGTGAAATAACGGTCAAAAAATCAATTTTTTGGGTGAAAAAATCGGGCCCAAACAGGCGCTAAGTAATGTTACCTAGTTAAACTATTAATTTTTTAATACAAAAATATTAATTAGTAATTTTAACCAATATGCCGTCTATTTAACTTATTCGTAATAAATTATTATAACTTGAGAAATAACATTCGTTTTTTTTTAAATATTTTGGATAATTATATATAATTAAATATTCAAATTAAAATTAAGCCCACATTTGATTTAGCCAAAATTAAATATTTAGGAAATTTTGATAAATTTGATAAAATATATAGTTAAAAATTTGATAAAAATAAATTTTAAAAACAAATGTAGAATAAATTGATTTTTAAAATTGTGGCCAAACACCGCAAATTAATTTATCTAAACTCTAAAGAATTGTATTGAATGCTGCAGCCAAACCCTTGCCATCACAACTCAGAAATATTCATATTTGAATTATTTTTTGATAAACACGGACAGTCCAATTTCAGTCACCTCCTCAATATGCCCCGATCGCAATTGTACATCTAAATAATCAATTAGTCATATGCAGAGGGTTTTTGTTGAATTGAATCAGGTTTTGATCCGATCGATTTGTGCAAATAACTTTGATAATAGCTAAATTAGCCCTAGGGTTTTCAGATTTGAAGCTCTGGGTGCCAACCAGTCAAGGCAGACACCTCAGCCGTCGTCGTCGGCAGGTGGAATATGGTTCTTTCTACGGCCTAGTCCGCCTAATTATCACTCGCTTCAGTATCTCCCACAAGCCCAAATGGACTTCGTCAGCCGCCACACAGTCAATTCTTCCGACCCCCACCTGCCTCCGCCCTCATCATCTTCTTCATCTTCGTCCGTCCCACCCGAAGAGCCGGAGTACTTGGCTCGTTATATGGTTATTAAGCACTCATGGCGTGGCCGTTACAAGAGAATTCTATGTATTTCGACTTACTCTATTGTTACTTTGGATCCCGGGACCTTATCTGTGACAAATTCGTATGATGTGGGTAGTGATTTTGAAGGTGCTACACCGATCACTGGGAGGGACGAGAATTCTAGTGAGTTTAATTTAAGTTTACGGACAGATGGCCGTGGGAAATTCAAGGCTATTAAGTTCTCATCAATTTACAGGGCAAGCATATTATCTGAACTGCATAGAATAAGGTGGAACAGGCTTCCCACTGTGGCAGAGTTCCCGGTTCTTCATTTGCGTCGGAGGACCTCAGAATGGGTCCCATTTGTAAGTATTATATCTTCTGGACGTGCATTTTTATATTTGAATGTTTTTGTATCTTTTTTTGCTGCTAATGATCTTTGTGATGGCATGAATTGTGGTCCTTCATGCTTTAGAGAATCACTACAATGGCGGCTGTCTGACAATTTTTACTATCTGATTACTCAGGCCCAGAGATTTTTCTTTTTGGGACTATATTTGGTAGACAAGGCGCTATTGCATGGCCAACTTAGTTACTGGCTTATTTCTTTGCTACAAATGTCCGTGCTGGAAAAAATACGCGGTGAATGAAAACATAATTCAAGTTTAATATAATGTAAAACAAGTACGAGGACTAGGATGAAGTTGTTACCGAGGATCTTGTTATCTTAATGCTTTGACTTATATTCTGTGTATGAATTGAATATGTTGATCATAGAGGAATGGCTGAGAAGGTTGTGTAATAATGACATTTAATTTGTGAAAAGGTTTAGGGCCCTCATTTTGCAAGTAATGCCACGTTATTCTTGGGGTTGTTTCCTACCCTTAGAAAATTCTAATTCTCCCAACTTTTTGAATATGAAACATATATGGTTCTGCCAGGACAGATATTATATTGATGAATTTTGGTGAGCTATGCTGTTTGTCATGAAAGATACTTTACACACCTTTTTAGGTTGATCATAAATGCCAGCTAAAGAAAATAGTGGAATGAGTTGAGATTTTTCCCATAGAAGTGGCATGACTTTCTTTGAGTTTGAGGAAATTGAACATATGGTTGAGATGTATGTTGAATTGTATTTTCTTTATTTCCATGCTTCGCGGTCTGCAGTCATCTAATGAAAATTCAGTATGCTAACTGCCTTCGTCAATTGACTTCTACATCTCCTTGTATAATCTGCCACCACTGGCTAATTATTGACCCTTCATCCAGTCATCTGATAGGAATCAAGTCCCTGAGCCATGTTCTTCTTAAATTCAAAGCTGAGCAATTTTTTGTCTGAAAAATATATCATTATAAAGATATTGCACAGACAAAACTTTTTTCCTTTCTATTAGTATCATCAACTTGCATTTTGCCCTACCGTGAATACTTATGCCGTCATTTAATTGTGTTTACCCGATGCTTGCTTTCTTCGGTAAGGCTTCTTACATGAAGAAGCCCACATTTGCTTTTAACTTGATAATAGTACCGACTTCCAGTCTTCTAGCGGACAACCTCAACGTTACTTTTTGCTAATTATCTTTTCTGGATCACTTTGTTCTAATTTGATATACTACCTCAACTTTCTTTTCCTTCAACATCCTTTATAATTCCTATGGCATGTCATGGAAACTGGAAAGAGGTAGGAAATTGTTTAGAAGCAATTAAATCAGGTTAAAAGCACGTAGATGATTGTTGAACTCTTGCGAAAAGGTAGTATGATCATGGGGTAAGCAGTCCCTTGTGTATATATCACTCTTCAGATTAACATCCATAACAATGACAACAGTTTTTTCAAATCATTTATTAACATTTTATTCATGGTTGGAGATGTATTGGCAGCCTAAAGGATTTTTTTGACAAAAGGCATGAACGAACTGGGATACTTGAAGGACGGAGAATACGGGGTGTAGTTGGTCCCTTTTGTAGGGTGCTCAGTAAAGACGTCATGTGGCAACGGTTTTAGTTGCTCTTATTTTCTTTTCAACTTGATTTCCTTCTTTTACTTTATTTTTTCAAGGAGAGGAAGTGGGTTTCGTAATAGAAGGCTAAAGTGAATATCTGCTTCCCAGTACTCCATGGGCTTAGAAGCAATGGTTTTGGCTAGAGTTCTACTGAAATGAAATTTGAATTGTGAATCATGGACTCACACTTAACTTCATCAATCCCACGATATCACAACTAAATAAGGATAGTATTAAAATCAAATCAAGCCCTCATGCCCTTTTTTTGTACTTTATTATAATGTTAATGATAATGAGGTGGAGAATACGTGGTGCTCGTCCTGCTCGAGTTATTTTTTAATGTCTGGAAATTATTGACGATTTACTCTTGTTTCTGTGTTTTCGATTGTTTCATATTATTCCACCTATGCTGCTTTTCTAGTTCTCTGTGAGTGCTCTCCAGTGTGCGCTCTTATCTCTTGTAAATGAAGGTTTTGTGAAACATTCTTTCAAGGGGTTAGAACTAGACACAAACACGTTTCTACCTCAAGATGGATTGCTATTTATCTAAAAGATACCCTTTGCTAGTTTTTCATGGTCACATGAATATTATTAACCTAAGAATGCTGCCCATTACTTTATTATGTCAGCAGCCTAGATCGAAGATAGAAATCTAAATTTTCCAAGGAAAATTTGAGATGAAATTGAAGAAGATGACATGATTATGGCTACCATATGATGGAGTTACAGTTCTTATTACTGTTCTTCATTTTTTAATCATAATAAATATTAGATATTTTGTATTGTTTTTAAATTTCTTATTCTGATGGCTTGGCGACTTGCTTTTCTTAATGCCCAACGCATTGAAGCAGTGTAACATTTAATGATAGTTATACCCATTGTTTTCAAAAGCTGTTATAGGCTTATGCCTTGAGGTGTGCCTCACATGAGACTTCATTAAACGCCTTGAAACTTACGCTTCAAGTGCCATTTGTAAAGTTTATGCTTTGACTCACTGAGGCTTATGCTTCAAGGCTAGCGAGGTGTGCATTCTTCCGTCTTGCCTTTCTTTGTCATTTTATTACTGGCTTGAACTTTTTAGTCTATTTATTTAACAGCAAAACACTTGCTAGTACAGGATGATGATAAATAATGACTAGACACTTGTAGTGAAGAGGAAGATGGAGATATATGTTGATTATTTTTTTAATGATCCTATTAGCAATGATAAATTGGGAGAGTTGTAGGCTATTTCTACTTTTTGTAGTAGATTATAATTTTGTTGTGCATCTAATTTGGGAACTTGTTATTCATTACTTTGTTGATCTATATTATATTTGTGTGCAACTTAGACGTTTAAATTGTGAACTTTTACCTAGATGGTTTATGTTTTCTATGAGCATATTTTTTTGAATTTTTTTATTGGTTTGCTTTGATGTTTATTGCCTCACCTTACGAAGATAAAATGCCCTGGTACTTGATTGAGCCTTTGTAATAATTGCGTGTATCTGTTATTTGATTAATTTTTCATCTATGTTTTGCATTGCTTATCCAAACTACTCAATCATTTTTTCTTGACTAGTGTGTTGAATTCATCTTGAGCAGAAAATGAAAGTTACACATGTCGGAGTTGAAGTTCTAGAATTGAAGTCTGGAGACCTCCGTTGGTGCTTAGATTTCAGAGATATGAATTCTCCTGCGATAATTCTTCTCTCTGATGCTTATGGGAAGAAAAATGTAGATAACGGAGGATTTATTCTTTGTCCTTTATATGGAAGAAAATCCAAAGCTTTCCAGGCTGCTTCAGGGACTTCAAATGCTGTCATTATATCAAATTTAGTATGGAATGCTCTTCATTGCTTTTTTCCTGATATTCTAATTAAAGAGTCCACATATTTTTTTAACTATAAGATTTTCAGTGATATGTCCTACCCTGCCCCTTAAAATGCCAATACCCTAGAGAACTGTTCTTGTTGACCCTGTTGGATAGTTCTTTATTTGTGGATTTTTTTTCTGAACTAAAACTAATATTGCTTAAACAATTGTCCAGACTAAAACAGCGAAGTCTATAGTTGGTTTGTCATTAGCTGTTGACAGCTCTCAATCACTCTACGTCACAGATTATTTGAGGCTAAGAGGTAACCTCTATTGTTAATATTTTATGTTAGTTTTATCCTTTTAAATTTTTGTAAATTTATCCCGTGCATGTGATACATGCAGCTAAGGAGGCTGTTGGGGCAGAAGAAACTCCTCTCGGTGTTTGGTCGGTGACAAGATTGCGAACTTCTGGACGTGGAACACAACATTCTGCCGGATTGAGTTTGGCACTTGGTCCAAAAGGTGGACTCGGTGAAGGTGGTGATGCTGTATCTCGTCAACTCATTCTTACCAAAATCTCACTTATTGAAAGGCGCCCAGAAAACTATGAAGTAAGCTGGTGATGTTCAATATGTTTTGGGTGTACAGGGATGCCTCTAATTTACACTTAGCCCCTGTTTGGCCCCCATTTTTTTTTTTTCAAAATTCATTTTTCCGCAAACTCATTTTCAACCGTACATTTCATGGGATCCACAAATTTTATCAACTTTTCAAACACACATTTCATCAACATTTTCTTCTTCTTCTTCTTCTTCTTTTTTTTTAATCAAAATCTGTTAGATATCTGATTTTTAGCTAAACCAAGCACGGGCTTAACGTTTTCATCAAAAAATTAGTAAGAGCTTGCATGATTCAGAATATTTGTGAAAGTTAATGTGATAGATGACACAGGAAAAATGTGATAAGTCAATCTGCGTGTGAAGCTTATGAGCATGTGTTTTAAGTTAATTGAATCTTTCTTTCCTGCCAAAAGAAGTTAATAAATTCTCACTTCTTTGATCCTAAGAAAGATTCCGTCTCTGTGCGATCATTTGTCATGAATGACAAATACTATGTTATCATACTTTACTATTTGTGGCTGACAAGGTTGACCAGCTTCCATTGTCACGTTTTAGCTATTGTTCATAGTGAATTTGTTACTTTGTACTGACCTCGCCCTAGGAGAGGGTTTGCACCTTACGAATTGATTTAGTTAGCCCTCAGTATACTTGCCTCATTACTGAAAGGTAATGACCAAATATCTGAACGAGTATTCAAATTGTTTATGGATATGTACACTGAGAACATGTTATGAGTTCAACGAAGATAAAGTTAGGAGACGAAATGCAACTTCTATATCCACGATCACCATATCATTTTAATTTAGATGAGAGTCCAAGAACAGGGAAATATACGTTGGCGTTGCTTAAAACTGAAATATATTCCTATGAACATTGCTTCTGGCTTAAAATCTTTCTGTGGTCTCGACTACTGCTGAGAAATTATTTTAAGGAAGTTTTGGCTTCATTGTCATTGTGCTTTGGGTATGTGTTTGTGATACAATTGGTTGGTGGTCGATAATTATTAAGTTCCAAATGTTTTTGTCGAATGCTTGTAGGCTGTTATTGTTCGTCCTTTATCTGCCGTTAGTGCTCTTGTTCGGTTTGCTGAGGAGCCTCAGATGTTTGCCATTGAATTTAATGATGGATGTCCTATCCATGTAAGTGTTCTTGGCTTATTGGTGAAGTTATATTGTGTTCTGAAGGTGTTAGTTTCTAAAATATGATATGATTTCAGGTTTATGCTAGCACTTCTCGTGATAATTTACTTGCAGCTGCTCGGGATGTTTTGCAAACTGAAGTAGGTAGATGTGTTCTTTCTTGGTTGTGAATTTATTTTCCATTTGCAAATTTTGTTTGAGTGAGTCTGCTTATATTTCATAAATATATCTGGCTTTTGATTTATCTTTGAAGCAAATTGATTGCTCATAGGGAGCTGTGTGCCTTGAAATCGGTTTAAATCTTGTTATGGTTTGGCTTATGCAGGTTCAATGTCCAGTGCCTGTATTACCAAGGCTAACTATGCCTGGTCATTTGATCGATCCTCCTTGTGGCAGAGTACATTTACAATCTCCACAACAGCCACAACGTGCTGTTGCCGATATGGAAAGTGCAACCATGCATTTGAAACACTTGGCAGCAGCTGCTAAAGATGCTGTGGCTGAAGGAGGTTCCATTCCTGGATCAAGAGCTAAATTATGGCGCAGAATAAGAGAATTTAATGCATGTATTCCATTTGGTGGAGTGCCTCCTAATATTGATGTACCGGAGGTGACTTTGATGGCCTTGATTACATTGCTTCCCGCTGCTCCTAACCTTCCTCCAGAATCACCGCCCTTGCCGCCACCTTCACCTAAAGCAGCTGCTACAGTGATGGGTTTCGTTGCTTGCTTACGCAGGTTGCTGTCTTCAAGAAGTGCTGCCTCACATGTGATGTCTTTCCCTGCTGCTGTTGGAAGAATTATGGGTCTGCTTAGAAACGGCTCCCAGGGAGTGGCTTCTGGAACGGCGGGACTTGTTGCCGTACTTATTGGTGGTGGCCCAGGGGATTCAAATATATTAAGAGACACAAAAGGAGAACAACATGCAACAATCATGCACACGAAATCTGTATTATTTACTGAACCCAGTAATCTAATTATCCTTGTCAACAGATTAAAGCCGATTTCTGCTTCACCATTATTGTCAATGTCCGTTGTTGAAGTTCTTGAAGCAATGATATGTGAACCACACAGTGAAACAACCCAATATACCGTTTTTGTTGAGTTATTGCGCCTTGTAGCTGGGTTACGCCGTCGCTTGTTTGCGTTGTTTGGACATCCAGCAGAAAGTATTCGGGAAACTGTGGCCGTAATTATGCGTACAATAGCTGAAGAAGATGCTGTTGCAGCAGAATCAATGCGTGATGCTGCTTTACGTGATGGTGCGCTACTGAGGCATCTTTTGCATGCATTTTACCTTCCTGCTGGTGAGCGACAGGATGTTAGCCGACAACTTGTGGCTCTGTGGGCGGATTCTTATCAACCTGCTCTTGATTTGTTATCTAGAGTTCTCCCACCTGGGCTGGTTGCATATTTGCACACACGTTCTGATGGAATTTCAGCAGAAGATACATCTTATCAGGAAGGTTCCTTAATGAGTAGAAGACGGAAGCGTTTACTTCAACGGAAAAGGAACCGTTCTGGAAAAGCAATATCATCTCAAGGACAGGTTACATCTTCTGTTAGTAATGTTGAAGCTAGTGATCAAGCACAACCGGCAAATACTTATGCATTCCAAGGGTCAGATGGTTACCAAAACCATACAGGTGAAAAATTTTCCGAGTTATCTGTAGGGGTCCCACAAAATGACCAGTCAGCAGCCATTACTTCTCTTGATAATCCTCCCGTTAATGCATATCAGTCGGTCGAAACAAATGTTACAAGTTCAATTGATTCTGATGTTAGCTCATCTGATCCCCAGAATGCTGGTCTTCCTGCTCCGGCCCAGGTAGTGACTGAGAATGGAAGTGTGGGATGTGGAGGATTACTGTTGAATTGGCATGATTTTTGGAGAGCTTTTGGTCTCGATCACAACCGTGCAGACTTGATCTGGAATGAGCGTACTAGGCAGGAGTTAAGAGAGGCTTTGCAGACTGAGGTTAATAAACTGGATTTTGAGAAGGAACGGACTGAAGATATTGTCCCTGGAGTTACATCTACAGAGTCTCTGACTGGACAAGAAAGTGTGTCTCAGATATCATGGAACTACACTGAATTTTTTGTAAGGTATCCTAGCTTGGCTAAAGAAGTCTGTGTGGGTCAATATTATTTGCGTCTGCTACTTGAGAGTGGCAGCAGCAGAAGGGCACAGGACTTTCCACTGCGTGACCCTGTTGCATTCTTTAGAGCACTTTATCATCGATTCCTGTGTGATGCAGACACTGGGCTGACTGTAGATGGCGCTGTTCCTGATGAAATGGGTGCCTCTGATGATTGGTGTGATATGGGAAGGTTAGATGGTTTTGGAGGAGGAGGTGGATCTTCTGTTAGGGAGCTCTGTGCGAGGGCAATGGCAATTGTATACGAGCAACATTACAATGTAATAGGGCCATTTGAAGGCACTGCACATGTTACGGTGCTCGTGGACCGGACTGATGATAGAGCTTTAAGGCACCGTCTTTTTCTTCTTTTGAAGGTACAACTAATTTTTTTCTAATGCTGCCCCATCTCTTCTCACTTAAACGAATTACCCAACCCGGAATTTAAAAAAAAAAAAAAAGGCCCAAGAAGTAGCAAAAATAGAATATACATAATGTTTCTTTATTAATATTCAAGTCATGGTATAAAAACCTGATTCAAGACTGATTTGAGGATAAGATGCTTATGCATTTAGTTTCTGAAAGATGGTCTTGGAGTTGTCATATTGACAGAGTCTTCGAGAGTAAAGCGGAGTTGCTTTGTGGCATCGAGAAACCATGTGACGCACTCTTGCAGATGGGCCAAAAATCTTATAAGGCAGTTGAAAATATTTAGGGGGTTGTGTGTCTTGTTTGGGGCTAATGCTGTAGGGAATTTTTGGATCTTTAGTTACAATAACCCGTGTAGGGGATAGCGCTTAAAAGATTGTGTTACCAGAAATTTGTTGACTGTTTTGAAACTTTTTTGGCCTGCAAATTGGATTTATAAACAGGGGATTTAACTTGGCTTGAGTATGGATCTCTGAGGAAATTGGTTTGTGCTCGAGGAGTTAGCTTCTTATATAACATAGATACAACAGGATGGTCAGCTATGAAAAAAATGGCTTAAGTTGTCAGGTGAAGGTGACTGAAACGTCCACTCACGCTGACTTGCATTTGGGGGTGCCTGAGGTAGATAATCTGTGCTTGGGTGACCTGTTTTCCACCCCCCTGACAACATTCGTGTTGTATTCTAAGTAGTTCTTTCTCCATCAAGCTATGGAAACAACAAAAAGAAAGGGAAAAAATAGATGTCGCACTTTGTTGTTGGCTATGCACTTTTTATTGTAGCCTCCTGGTATTACTGAAAGACAGAAGGTTTTTATTAATATGAAGGAATCACAAGAATTGAGTATCAGGGAGATCAATATTTAATTAAAGAAATGAGACAGTTACAAATGACAATTTCTCTGTCCTTGGTGCTCATCTGGTTAAGCAAATTCATCAAAAGGAACACTGACCTTAGCTCACAGGGATGTAAGGAAACTAATACTTGTTGCACGGGCTATGACTACTATTACAGTTGCCTAAAAGATTCTACTGTTGCCTTCTCTTCAAATAGTAGTAGCCTAATAGCCATCAGAGGGCATCTTCATTAGATCTGCCCTAAGAAGCATGGATAGTGATAGGGGCGCACATATGGACACGGACACCGGACACGACAATTTAAATTCTTTAAAATTGTAGATTTGTATATTATATCGTTATTTTATACTTTTTTAGGTTATAATAAATCCAATACATTTAAGTCTCTTAAATTGGCCGAGTAGCTATTTATTATATTAAGCCGTTGTTTGGATCCATATTTTAGAAAATGCATTTCTCTCTCTCTTATTTTCAACCACACGTTCTTCAGTAAAATTACGTATAAACAAAATTATTTTTCCTTATTTTTGAACCACACATTCTCCAAAAAAATCACTCTTAAAATACATATTTCCTCAAATTCTCATTAAAATAGAGCTCAAACAGGGGCTAAAGATATTTTAAGTTGTACTATGGCCCCTATTTGAGCTCCATTGCAATGAAGTTTTTGGGAAAAATGTATCATGTAATAGTTATTTATTTTTTTATTTTTTAAAGAATGTGGTTAAAAAAGATGGAAATCTTTCGGGTTTGCGTGTAATATTATTTTTATTAAAGAATGTGTGGTTGATAAAGAAGAGAAAGAAGAATGAATTTCAGAATTAATGGAGCCCAAATAGGGGATATATATTACTAGTCTTAGCGAAGGAAACATACATATAGTACGACTTGGAGTGCACGAGGAGTGCCAATGATTGACATTATGGTTCCACTGAGTTAGACGACCTACACTAAGAAATATCCTACCATCTTTATTATTTTATTTGCACAGTGTTGTTTGCTATATCTGCTCACCTGATCTTTTGCTCACTTGTGTGAGTCGAGCCTCCTATTGTGCATAGCAGTTAGTGTTAAAACAACTTGACTTGTACCATATGTGACAAAGCATTTTTGCTGGGACGTTGGTCTGGATTGTGAATTGCAATGGTTTAACTAGTTTGTCTTTTACTTTGAGCAACCTAATGCTGTATGGTTTAGGATTTAGCACTAAATATGGATACTGGGAGAGTAGCATTGAGGATTAAAAACTAAAAGGGGCAATTATTTGTTTTGGAATCGCGAAAACAGTGATAGTAAAAAGAGTGAATGAAAGATCAATAAATAGTTCTGCTCTTTACAGTTGCTGAATAGAACTTGTAACATGGAACTGTTATAGTTCGAATATGTACTGAAATTGAGATGGAAGCTAGTGACTGAAAATTGTTATGGTTGGAAATTGAGATTGAGATGAAAACTGTTATGGTTGAAAATTGTTAAAAGTTTGAGAGGCAGTTTTCATCATCGCCGCAATGAAAAGATATTGAAGAAGAAACCCCAAGTGTAAAAATTAGAGATTGTAGGCATCATGGACGAGATGAATTAAATATAACTTGCCGACCATATTTGATCTCTCTCTCTGACGGAGGTTGTGTTTGGCCCGAACTTTTAATTTTGATATTTAGTTCTTGTATGGATGTGATTTTTAAAAATCACTTTTCTCCACACATTTTCTTCAAAAAAAAAAAAAAAAAAAAAAAAAAAAAAAAAAAAAAAAAAAAAAAAAAAAAAAAAAAAAGAAAAAAGAAAGAAAGAAGTCATTTTTCTTAATTCCTAGAACTTTTTCTTACTAACCACATTAAAAATCACTTTTCTCCATACATTCTCCAAAAAAAATAAAAAATGATAATAATAATAAATAAATAAATAAAATTCAATTTTCTTATTATTATTATTATTATTATTTGAAAGGTAATGAAAATTCATTTTCCTTGATTCCTAGAACTTTTCCTTACTAACCATATTCTCCAAAGATCACTTCCACACAAGCGCTTAGCCCTTGTTTGGTTTAGATAAAAATCTGACTTTAGTAGATTTAGATTTTGATAAATATTGATGGAATGCATGGTTGAAAAGTTGTTGGTTCTATGAAATGTGTGGTTAAAATTAATTATTGACTTTGACGAATATTTTGATAAAATATTTTGGCTGAACCAAATAGGGGCTTAATATCTCTTTTTTTTTTTTAAGTCGGAGGAAGGCTTAACTTTCCTCTTTTTCCTAGCTGTTTGAGCTGACTTTTCCTTCTCGTTGACATCTGAGGTTCTTTTGCTTAAATTTAGAATTGGAAAATCATGATGATATGCCCCTTTTAACAGCTGTTATCCCCGTGGAATCTGGGGCTGTCGTCCTAAGTTTCTAGAATTGCCTATGGTGTGACAATGATTAGAATAAACAGACTTCTGATTTAGAGCAATCAGTCCTGCTAGTTTAGATGAATTTGCTGAAATAAGAATTAGCCCATGGAAAGAAGTTGACCGTTCACGCTGGAGCAAGTTTTTTCTGTCTAAATAATGGGATTATATTTTTATTTAAACTAATACATCTTTGCTGGCATGCAGGTTTTGATGAAGGTTCTTTCAAATATAGAGGCATGTGTCTTGGTTGGAGGCTGTGTTCTCGCTGTTGATTTACTAACAGTAGTTCATGAAGCTTCGGAAAGAACTGCTATTCCTTTGCAGTCTAACTTAATCGCTGCTACTGCTTTCATGGAGCCTTTGAAGGAATGGATGTTTATTAACAAGGATAATGTACAAGTTGGGCCAGTGGAAAAGGATGCAATTAGAAGATTTTGGTCAAAGAAAGAAATAGATTGGACAACCAGATGCTGGGCATCTGGGATGCCTGACTGGAAGAGACTAAGAGACATAAGGGAGCTCCGATGGGCAATGGCTGTCCGAGTTCCTGTTCTTACCACTGTCCAGGTATAATACTACAGGACTGAACAGCTATATGCACAGACTACAATTATTTATGTAAAATATGGTTCATGCTTTATATGACCAACTTGACAAGCTGGTTGCAATTGCTCGTGTTATGATTATTTCTATTTGGACTACAGGTAATGTGTAGTACTTGGGAAGTGTTATTGTGCTAAGAAGAACTAAGGGGATTTCAAACTAATCAGATTCATTATATTCTTCCATTTTTCTCTCGTTTTCATTGTTGAAAAATAATTATTTGTTCATAAAGTCAAATTATAGGTCAAAACTTTAAAAAACTTGCAGGGAGATAGACATGCACTGTAGCTTTTTTTAATTTGATATGTGTATCGATTAATTCAATTCGGAAGATTCTTAAGGAAAATATTAGATACAAACTGCGATACTTGACCAATTAATTTAGAGTAAATAATTTATCCGAGAGATTAATTTTGCGATTGGAGATAACAAGTCTGATATTATTGGACATTGTAGTAAAGAAACTAAAGTATCATGGATTATTTTGACTCTCCATGAAATCAAATTTTCCCTTTGATCAAGATCTATAATTTGAGCCTGAATTCATTTATAAAAATTTAAAGTAATTTGTGGGAAAAAGGCTGAAAGGATTATATACTATTTAAATAACGTTGATTGTCTATAAAATCATTCTGACTAAATTTCTAGTTGGTACCTGAGCTTTGATTGTCAAAATTTAGGTACTATAAAATTGGGTTTCAAATTGAGCTCTAAAATTCTAAACCCTAAATTTAATTTTGACTAATGTCTCTAAAACCTTTGCTGAATCCTCTATCTCGCTCTGGTCACCTTCTACCACTTTTAAATGAGGGTCTCAAATTTAGCCCTAAAATTACAAACACTAAAACCGTAATGCATCTCAAGTAACCCTCATGCAGGTAATCTAACCAGGAGGATGATTGCACTTGGTAGAGAGGGGGATGTTTTTACTAATTGGAATTGCAATCAGAGTCCAACATCAACTTTCAAGTAGTGGGTCATTCTATTCATAACCATCAAAGTTGGGTATGTGTAATAAAAATATACCAACTTGACGGGGGAAGTTGGAATAGAAGTTAAGTTATAAATAGGAAATAGTGTGATATCAATATACCAACTTGAGGGGAGAATGAGGGAGTCGGAATACAAGTCCAATTATAAATAGGAAATCTATTTTAACGTATTTTCTATTTACTTTATATTCTAGTTTAAATAGGGATTAATATAGTTGTTCCTTCTATAGTTAGGAATAGTTTTTTTATTTCGTTTCATGGGTTGGATTGTACTATCATAAATAGAGTTGGTTGTCTATGAATAAAAATTATTCAGCTCAAATTTCATTAAAATTGTCTATTCTGGAGTTCACGTTTCAAGACATTAAACTGTAAATTATAATTATTTTATATCAATCTTTTTTTGTCACAAATAATAGTGGAAAAAATACTGAAGTTAAAAGCATATTTTAACATGTTCTTTCTATCACCAATTAGTTTTTTAATTTTGTTCTTCCTTTGGTTGAATTTTTGGTTTCCACTTTTTAAAAATAATTGTTTGGCTTGTATTGATTAGGATGTACCACTAGCAAGATTTTTTTTACCATATCTGCTTTTAAATACAATTCTAGCTTTATTAGTTTCCAGTTTTATGGTGGGAAATTGGTCTATACAATAATGGAAATGATAACTAAATGCTAAACTAGGTTTGTTTTAGAAAGTAGAAGTCAAAATTCTGAAGAACTGGGAGAACCTTTATACATGTAGGTATGAATGTTCGTATTTATTCTCAATTCACTAATTGGATTTGTGTTTAGTTTTATAAGGAATAAACACTTACAATTTTTTTTTTTTTTTTTGAGTAGAATGAATTACTGTTTTGTTCATTGCATAAAGCTGTATATAACATCTTTAGGGTTAAATTTCATAATACTGTTTTGTTCATTGCATAAAGCTGTATGTAACATCTTTAGGGTTAAATTTCATAATAACTAGAATGAAGTACTCCTTCCATTAAGTTTTCATCTAAATGAAGAGGTTTATCTGCCATTTATATTATAAACTCTAAATTGGGAATATTTGTTGTGGTGATGAATCTAAGAAGGTAGATATACTTTGTCAGGTAGGAGAGGTGGCACTATCCATATTACACAACATGGTAGCTGCTCATTCAGATATAGATGATGCTGGAGAGCTTGTGACTCCGACACCTAGAGTGAAAAGGATCTTATCAAGTCCACGTTGCCTTCCACATATAGCGCAGGTATTCTTTATAGTCCTTGTGCCATATATTTTATATTGGAAATTGAACTTTCAGATTTTTCACATTTAGCTACTACAAAGCTCACAACATAGCTCAGAGATGTGTGAAATTATGGTTGTTATAAACAAAAATGAAAAATATGTTATTAGCGCGACTTTTGCTAATATATTTGCAAAATTCATGGAAGTCTGCATGCTTCTTACTTGGATTAACATTTACTGTTGCTGTTATCAGCATTGTTTACAAAGTGATAACTACCTCAATTTTTAAGTTGGTCATGGAAGTTGTGCATATTGTATTTTATTTTATATTTTGTCATTTTGTCTAACTGCTTGTGCTCAAATTTATTGTTAAAGAATGTTCCTTGAATAGGAGATGTAACTATGAACCCTTCAACGTTACGGCTTTTAGGTCTTTATTTCTGTATTCTGATTTTTGGTAAGCAAAAATTTGATTAATGTGCGCTTGAAGGCGTGCAATACATTACAGGGTTTTTATAACGACGAAAGTTCTCTTACATACCCATTTGGCTAGTGAGTGTAGCATGTTCTATTTCAAAGAATCTCAGAAGGACAATTTGAGTAATGTATCTCCCTCAAATGTTCCTTTTTCTCCAACCTCTCTCTTGTTAGCCATGTATGGATTCTTCACCCTTTGGCTCCTCGTTTCGGACATGACATCAAGGATCTGTGAAACTTAGCTATTCAAAGTATCCCCTAAGGGTGCGCTATTGATGGCTAAAAAGAGCAATACATGACAACATAATTTGAGGTAAACTTGAATGATAAGCTACGCTCTTCATTGAAAAACTAAGCCAAGAAATATATAAATAGTGTGTGCAATATTTAATAAGAGTTCAGTAACAGTGGTGACATAAAATTTTAGGTGTTCAGGTGACATATATTTTCAAGTCTGCTTGTTTTGGGTGCTGGGAAGGTCAAGGCTGAAGTTAGACATATTGGAGCGCTGCATATACCTGAAGGATTGGCAAGATAAGAAATTGAGAATATTTTATCAAAATGATGATGACATCATAAAGACATCTAAAATTATCAGAAATGCCATGCCTAATGATACTCTGTCTTGTGCCATAAAAAGTCCTTAAGATGAATACGATTTGAGAATGTTAAGATGGAGGTTTATGATGAGAATATATGCTAACAAGTGGAGGTGACATAGATTGAAGATAAGGAAAGTACAATTTAGGTGCTTGGGACATGTCTTACATAAGTTTAAAGAGGCTCCAGTTAATAAAAGTGATGTAATCTCCATAGAAAATGTTGGTAGCGGATATGTAGATTAACTATTATGGCTTCTTGTGGTTGGATCTAGAGGCTTACAAAATTATTATTCTTGCAAAACTATATCACTGCAGGACACTTGCGAGATAATAATTATACCGTACTGGGGTGAGATTTTCAATCTTCTTCGTCTATCTTTTTACATTTTTGAGGTGCACTTTAGATAGAGTCATATGTTATCAGTTACTTGGAGAGCTGACAATGAGTTTGCTATTGTTGTACTTAAGTGAAATTATGTAATAGACTCAAATTTTTGGCCATTGATTTTAGCTAAATCATTTGTTGGGCTCTATGCTTATGTTTGATTGTTTATCAAGTTTGCCGCCTTTAATTTTATTTGAACTGTAAGTCTTTAAATATAGGCATGACTAGCAATTTTGTTGCCTTGTTGTCTTTTTGCAAATGCAGGCAATGCTTTCTGGTGAACCAACCATTGTTGAGAATTCTGCTGCTTTGTTGAAGGCTGTTATTACGAGGAATCCCAAGGCGATGATAAGATTGTACAGTACAGGCGTGTTTTATTTTGCCCTGGCATATCCTGGTTCTAATCTTCTTTCGATCGCTCAACTCTTCTCAGTGACTCATGTTCATCAAGCTTTTCATGGTGGTGAGGAAGCTGCAGTTTCCTCTTCTTTACCTTTGGCAAAACGCAGTGTTTTAGGTGGCCTGTTACCCGAGTCTTTACTCTATGTACTGGAACGTAGTGGTCCCACTGCATTTGCAGCAGCAATGGTTTCTGATTCTGATACTCCTGAGATTATATGGACGCACAAGATGCGAGCAGAAAATCTAATCCGCCAGGTATCCCTATCTGTACAATGGGAGCTTGCCTTTGGTGTGTGTCATATTTTATTCTATTTACTTTCTAAAACTATTTACAGTGACTCGTAGTTGTACCAAATAATTACTGTAATCAGCTCAAGTTTGTGTATGGTTTCCCAGGTTATGCAGCATCTTGGTGATTTTCCACAGAAATTGTCCCAGCATTGTCACTCTTTATATGATTATGCTCCAATGCCACCAGTGACGTATCCAGAGCTGAAAGATGAAATGTGGTGTCACCGCTATTACCTTAGAAACTTATGTGACGAGATTAGATTTCCTAATTGGCCTATCGTTGAACATGTTGAGTTCTTGCAATCATTGCTAATAATGTGGCGCGAAGAGTTAACACGAAGACCAATGGATCTTTCTGAAGAAGCAGCTTGCAGGATACTGGAGATTTCACTTGAAGATGTATCAAGAGATGATGCCCCTAAAAAACAAAATTCTGAAGTGATTGAGGGGATTCCTAACATATCAAAGCAGATTGAATATATTGATGAAGAAAAGCTCAAGAGGCAGTATAGGAAACTTGCAATGAAGTATCATCCTGACAAAAATCCTGAAGGAAGAGAGAAGTTTCTTGCAGTGCAGAAAGCTTATGAGCGCTTGCAGGTATTCAAACCACCGTGACCTTAGTGCTAATTCCATCTATATTTAATATGCCAAAACTTTGTTTATAGACTAGCCTCTGTTTTTATCGCGCACCTCTGTAAATCGAGAATAGAAATCATGGACTGACCATGACAACTCAATGCTAACATTGATCTACTGACCCTTCTGGTACACACCTTTTCATTTATGAATGAAATTAAGTTCTACAGGGACATGAATTGCTAAAGCCAACCCATCTTTAATTTGCAAGGCAGTTGAAAATTTTCATCTTTTTGTATTTTAAAACAAACAATATTTTCAGAGGTTCTTATCGGTTGAAGAAAGCAATTTGAGAAATACAGAGTGACGAGCACGGTATATTAAATATGAAATTACTAGTGAAATTCTATGATGCCCCTAATCTTTATTTTATAAATTTGTCAAGCGTAATTTAGTCAGCACTTTTAAATAGACATAATGCACCTGTTTCTTTGCTGTGGGCCCACCAATTTTCTGAGTCTGACCGTTGAAACTAGCTTTTTTAAGAAACAAGTTAGCCAGTTGACTAAACCATGATTTCAATTGTTGAATGCTCACTTCTTTTTATCACAAATATGATTTCTACACATAATTTACCTAACATAGCACAATTCTGAAGGGTGATCTGGCCTCCAACTGAAATTATTTGCTCTATAAAAAAAAAAAAAAAAAATTTTAATCAACATGTTTGAAGAGTCTTGCTGTTTCTTTTCCGAAAATCTTGTATCTCCGTGTCCATCACACTTGTCCGTCTCGGTGTTTCGTTGCATGGTGTTCCACTTTCATAACTTCATTGGGATTTTAGCAAATATTTATAATGAAATTCATAAGATGAAGTGGCATGGTCAAATTTATAATCAATTTCATGATTGGAGTTTTACATGATACTGTCCATGTTCTTGTCTACTACATAGTGACTTGCTGCATTCTGATTCTTCTCTTTTAGGTAACTATGCAAGGGCTTCAAGGCCCCCAGCCTTGGAGGTTGTTGCTTTTGTTGAAAGGCCAATGCATACTTTATAGGCGATATGGGGACGTACTGAAGCCGTTCAAATATGCTGGATATCCAATGTTGTTGAATACAATTACAGTGGACAAAGATGACAACAATTTTCTTTCCTCTGATCGAACACCTCTTCTTGTTGCAGCCTCAGAGCTTGTTTGGTTGACGTAAATGCTTTGTTCAATACTAAACCCATGTTTGAGCCACATTCTAGGAAAAAAAATGCATTATTTATGTCAAATCAATGGGAAATGTGTGGTTAAAAAATAAGGAAAAATTTTAGATTTGTGTGTAATATTATTATATTGAAGAATGTGTGGTTGAAATTATGTTAAATCACTATTGAAGAATGTATTTTTTCGAAAATAATGTGGCTCAAACAAGCCATAAATACTTCTTATCTCTATGGTGTTATTTCCTACTTTGATTATATTTGCTTATTTCCATACTTAATGCTATCAGCTGTGCTTCTTCTTCGCTGAATGGTGAAGAGCTTGTGAGAGATGATGGAATACCACTACTTGCAACTCTTCTTACACGTTGCATGTGTGTGGTCCAACCAACAACTCCTGCTACCGAACCATCCACCATCATTGTTACCAATGTCATGCGAACCTTCTCTGTTTTGAGTCTGTTTGATAGTGCCAGAACTGAGATGCTTGAATTTTCTGGTCTGGTTGAGGATATTGTGCATTGTACTGAACTTGAGCTTGTGGATGATGCTGTTGATGCTGCACTTCAGACTATAGCTCATGTTTCTGTATCCTCTGAATTTCAAGATGCCTTACTAAAGGCTGGCGTGCTGTGGTAAGCCTAAGTTACATCTTTATGCTTTCTGCAATTATTTATTTATTTATTGATGTAAAGATTCGGACACAAAATTCGAGGACAATTTATTCCCCATTCAAGTAAACACAAACAATTATTTCATTCCAAATCTGCTGCATATATATTAGAGCTCCACCGCTGAAGCAACTAGCTGCTTTAGCTCATAAGGCACCTGTCTATCCCGCCAAATCCTGAAAAAAATGTCGTGGTTCCTCCCTATCCAAATAGACTAACTAACAGCCAATTAAGGACATCTGCACAAGATTGTATAGTCTTGTGATATCCTGAAGGACAAACTGAGCCGGGCATACGGAATACCATTTTAACCAAAACTCTGTTGCAAAACAGCAACGTATAGAAATCGGTGAATAATGTCATATGTTGCTCACACATAACTCAAACATCAGAGTAAACCCTGGCAGGGTGTTTACATTCTTGTAATGGGTACATGAGTTTTACCCTTTAAATGCCCTTAGCTTGTAAGAGGAATATTTATATTGCTATTTTTAGGATGTGAAATGTTTTCTTTACAGGAAAACATTTGTCCTTGTTTTCTGGTATATTACTTTTTATTATTTTTACTGGACTTCTTTCACCATTCCATGCCCTTCCCTTATCTCATTTGTATTGATCCAAGTGCGGTAACTTCTCTTGTTATTTATTTGTTGTTTTTATATTTTTCTTCAGGTAGCATATTTGATGTTTTATGAAGTATATTCCCTATTTCATTTAAATATTCATGTCCGGTTTTTTGTCTATTCTGTTCGTTTGGATTTTTTATTTTTTTATGAGATACAGAGCTTATATGTACTGAATGCTGTTTTGAACAAAGTTTCCTATGCATTATAGATTATGAAATGAAATTACAAAAGCATCAGTGTTGGAGGCCGTATTCTATTATTTCTCGATCTGTAGAAAGCAAAATTCTCACTGCTTACATGTAAGGTATAGAAGATTGGGATTTATGAAGCAAAAGAATTTGGAGTCCATTCCTCTCTCTGCAGTATTTGTGCTATATGCTTAAATGTAAAAGAACTGTTCCATTTTAGCAATTTGTTACAAATGGTGGAATTTATCAGAAACTGTTATATTCTGATTGTGTTTTCTGCAGTAAGATTTCTACAAATTCAGTCCCATATCTGGAACTTGTGGGTTTACACAGTTAACCTTATTTTGTTTAGGTACCTTATACCACTATTGCTTCAGTATGATTCTACTGCTGAGGAATCAGATAAGACACAGGCTCATGGTGTTGGAACAAGTGTTCAGATTGCAAAAAATTTACATGCTGTACAGGCATCTCACTCCTTGTCAAGGCTTAGTGGTCTGGACACCAGTGACAATCCTGCGCCCTATAATCAGGTTGCAGCTGATGCCCTTAGATCTTTGCTAACACCTAAACTTGCGAGTATGCTGAAAGATACACTACCCAAAGATCTCTTATCCAAATTAAACTCAAGTTTGGAGACTCCTGAGGTAAATAGGTTTTGGACTTTCACTTTCCATGTTGGACAGTTCTATGCTGCAAAACATTGAATAATTTGCTTCGATTATGAATTGCTTATTTCACTTTGCTTACTTCAATAATCCAGGCAGTACAATGTAGGATGATTTTCATATCTAATGGGACTTAGAATTGGTCATTCTATCTATCATACCTAAGTCAATTTGCAGTGTTATTTGTTTCACATTTTTGTTACTAACTTGCATGTTTTTAGGTGTCATTGACAAGTGACAGAAATGTTTTAATGAGTTTCAAGATTCCATTTCTAGTCAGCATGTGTTAGTTTTACTTATTTTGATCTTTTAGATGGCATAACGTGTTGACACACAATGTGTCCATTAATGTCTATTGATTGTTAATTGCTTTATGTACTCATATTTGTCATTATTGAATCCCCACTTCACTCATAACATGGTTCTCACCATTTCATCTGGCAGATAATCTGGAACTCCTCAATCCGAGCAGAACTATTGAAATTTGTGGACCAGCAGCGTGCAAACAAAGGTCCAGATGGATCATATGACCTAAATGAGTCGCATTCCTTTATATATGAAGCATTATTGAAGGAACTTTATATTGGCAACGTATACTTGAGAGTTTATAATGATCAACCAGATTTCGAAATTAGTGAACCTGAGATCTTCTGTATTGCCCTTGTCGATTTTATATCGCATTTAGTTCATGATCGGCCTGCTGCAGATTCAGGTATTCACGTTAATGGTGATATGACCACTGAATCATCTATGGAGCAGCTTTCTTGTGATGATTCTTCTGAACCCATTGATATGAAAATCATGGACAAGTCTGAACTTGAATTGGTTAAGAGCCTTCAATATGCGCTGACTTCTCTTCAGGTATGCACCTCCTTTTTTTTGTTTTTTAATTTACTAATTTAGTTGTGGAGTCTGATGTATCTGTTCTGCAATTCCAGCACTTATTGACAAGTAATCCCAACTTAGCCTCTATGCTCTCCACAAAGGAAAAGTTACTGCCTCTTTTTGAATGTTTCTCTCTTCCTGTTGCTTCAGCAAGCAACATACCTCAGCTATGTTTGAATGTTCTGTCACGCTTGACAACATATGCTCCCTGCTTGGAGGCAATGGTTGCGGATGGTTCTAGTTTGCTTCTTTTATTACAGATGCTCCACTCATCACCCAGCTGTCGTGAAGGAGCTCTTCAAGTTCTTTATGCCTTGGCAAGCACACCGGAGCTTGCATGGGCAGCAGCCAAACATGGCGGGGTGGTCTACATTCTTGAACTTCTGTTACCTTTGCAAGGTGAAGATTTCTATTAGTATGTTGAAATTTAAATCATATTTGCAAGCACACCAATATATCTGAGTATAAAACAGTGAGCTACGAGGTCAAACCCAATTATTGTTAAAATTTAGAAAATTTAATTTAATCTAATCTAGTCCATATTTAAATTATGATTCTAGCCTACTCTACGATATTGAATTTGTTCGAACTAATTATGACAAAAGAAATGAAAGAATTAACTCAAACAAATTGAAATTGGAATGTGAGTGATTAAACATGCAAATGATTTAGAAATATTCCAGTAATTAATTAATTTCCCAAATTAGATCGACACTTTTAAATCAATCAGTTGTGATCTCATATAATTAACAAGTAAGCCAAGTTAAATAAATCTTTTACAGGACCTTTTGCTTACCTTCTTTGCTTAATATACAAAATCCTTGAGAATTCTATTTATCAATCAAATTGCAAGAAAAATAATCTAAGGAAATTGCATTGATCTATATAGAATTAAGCTTAAAGTAATGAAACAAATTCCTAAATTTAAAAAAATACTTGACATTAATGATGAAAGTAATTTTAGATTTGCTAAATGCTAATCTTGTGAATTAAGAACCATAAAAAATCAAGAGGGCTTAGGGATTATTACTATGATAAAAGATAAATGCTTGATAAAACTAAGTATTGTGTTCAACATCTGTTCAAGAAATTTAAAAGAACATATTTAATCCAAAGACAGTGAATAGTTAGACCAGCCATGAATCAAAGAAATATGAATTATGCGAGTTGTCTCTCCATGTAGCTCCTCCCCTGCCAATCTTCTTTCTTTCTTTCTATGAAGCTGCTGCTTCTAATCCTTTATATGTTCTGCTCTCCTTTTGTTTCTTTCCAAGACAAAACATACTGCTAATCATTCTGCGGGCTTGGAGTTGCCACCCACTTGGCATTATCTATCCTTTTTCGATTTCTTTTCCATTACTTAATTGTTTCTTTTTCCCTCTCTCTTTTTTACCTTCGTCCACCCTCCGGCTTTACAATTTTACTTGTTGACTTAATTCTTTCTTTTCCTTTCTCATTTTTCTATTAATTGTTGTGCTGCCTCTTGATCTCATGTTTATATATACAGAAATTATCTACCAAGCATCGGTGCTTAGCTTGAAGACTCACCATAAACTTATCCATCGGTAAATTGATGTGGCATGTCATTGGTGCTTAGCATAAGCCAAGCACTGGTGCTTAGTGTATGTATTGTAATTTATTCCCTCACTTTGAATGATTGATCTTGTCTACAAAAAGCATTAATAATCTTTCATTCATCAATCAACTTTGTTGAGGAATAAAATTTAGGGCAAATTAGTTAACAATGATATGCTCATCAGATAGTATTCTATTTTTACTTAATATTGTCGTGCAGAAGAAATTCCATTGCAGCAAAGAGCAGCTGCTGCTTCATTACTAGGGAAACTTGTTGGGCAGCCTATGCATGGGCCTAGGGTGGCAATAACTCTTACTAGATTTCTGCCAGATGGCCTTGTGTCGGTCATCAGATATGGTCCTGGTGAAATGGTTGTGAGCGCTCTTGAACAAACAACAGAGACTCCAGAACTTGTATGGACACCAGCAATGGCTGCCTCACTTTCCGCACAAATTGCAACAATGGCTTCTGATTTATATGGTGAACAGATGAAAGGGCGTGTTGTTGATTGGGATGTCCCCGAACAGGCATCCAGCCAACAGGAAATGAAAGATGAGCCTCAGGTATAACTGGGAACATTCAATGTGCTCAAGAATGCTTTAATTCTGTTATCTGACTGCAAAATATTCATTTGAATGTAGGTTGGGGGAATATATGTTAGGTTATTCCTGAAAGATCCTAAATTCCCACTTAGAAATCCAAAGAAATTTCTTGAGGGGCTGCTGGATCAGTATCTTTCTTCGATTGCTGCTACACATTTTGATGGCCAAGCTATTGACATTGAACTTCCTTTGCTACTTTCTGCTGCACTGGTTTCTTTACTGAGGGTATACCCTGCTCTTGCGGATCACGTTGGATATCTTGGTTATATACCCAAACTTGTGTCTGCAGTAGCTTATGAAGGAAGAAGAGAAACAATGGCCTCAGAAGATATGAGGACTAATGATTCTGATCAAACCTATGAAGCTGAGGATGGATCAATACAGCATACTACGCAAACTCCGCAGGAGCGTGTGCGCCTTAGTTGTTTACGTGTCCTACATCAACTTGCAGCTAGTACCACATGTGCAGAAGCTATGGCGGCAACTAGTGCAGGGACTCCCCAGGTATGTGAACTAGTAATAAGCCCTTGTTAAAGCAATCAATATGGTTTCTCTTGGGTTTCATCCCGTTAATCTTGCTTCCAGGTGGTTCCACTTCTGATGAAAGCTATTGGTTGGCAAGGTGGAAGTATCCTTGCTCTCGAGACCTTGAAGCGAGTTGTAGTTGCGGGAAATCGAGCAAGAGATGCTCTAGTTGGCCAGGGTCTTAAGTGAGTATATTAGGTGTCTTTGATATGAGCATTCAACACTTGTACTGAAGTCTTTTGGTACTTATTATATTACTTGCTTAATAAAATATGGATGTTGGTGTTGCTACTTAAAATGATTAGACACACTTAAATTTAGTTCAAAACTTCAATGTGAAGTTTCATTAGGTAGTTGAAAAGCAAGCAGCCAAGCCATAAGAAGTTTTAAATACATTGAGTATGTCTGTGTATAAATGCATCTTTTATATGTATGACATAAATTGTAAATTAATGTACTTTAATTGTATTAAATTAGCAATTAATAACACTCTCTCTCAACACAGTAGCTGTTATAATAATTATGCATGTAATCTTGTAGTATATATATGTGTAATATAGTTGCGTTATATGAATGTGTTCATTAAATATGAATATCTATACTTAATTTAATTGCATCACCAAATAGTTTCACATAAATTTCTGAGCACTTATTGTTATCCATTAAGTGTTTCCGATTTCATTTTTGTCATCCCGTATCTTGTTTTCTGACTAGATGATAACTTAGAGAAGTTTTATATAAATTGATTGCATGTAGAAAATTCATGAGCATAAATTCATTTGTATTTTCATTTTTCTTGCTCATTTGCTTGCTTCCATTCCTCGAAACCTTTGATTAATGGACTTTGGAGCATGGTATAAAGTTGACCTAATATTGGGAGGTGGACCCACTGTGTTAAGGAAACACTAGACTGTATCATTAGTTGATTTGGCACCTATAGGTTATAGAAGGATTACTGAAAGCTTGGATTGAATTTGTTTGATTTAATTTAAATTAGGTTAGACATGCATCTTGAAGAAACAAACATTTCATCTTATTCCTGCCACTTGATAGTAATATAAATTGTTGCCACTGTAGGGTTGGCCTCGTTGATGTTCTTCTTGGCCTTCTTGATTGGAGAGCTGGGGGAAGAAATGGATTTTCTTCGCAGATGAACTGGAATGAGTCAGAAGCATCAATTAGCCGAGTTCTTGCAGTTGAGGTCAGACTATCGTAAATTTCTGTAGACATTTTTAGATGGTTGGAAGCTTCAAATATTTCAGTCATTTTATTTTAATTTTCCTGTCCTCTTTTGGAAGTTCTGCATTGTTTTCTTCTTTGTGAATCAATGAACTTGGTTCTAAGGCATGGAAAATGAGTAGTTCACAGTGCTTTTGTATTCTTTTTATTTTTTATTTCTCTCTTTCGTTCATAGAGATCTCAACTTAGTTTTGAGATCTTTTCAATTTCTTCATGGGTTTGAATATTTAAGTCAACACAACTTAGGACACCGATATTATACAGACAATTAGACGTGTTTCTTTTCAAAAACTTAGGGCATGGATATGCTGATTACAAACTTCTTTTATATCAAGCTTGAGCGTGGTTTGGTTTGAGTCGATTTCGACTTCAACCCGAAACAAAAACCAGATTAGTTGGTTTAGATGAATTTCAACCCGAATCGACCCACTCTAACTCTTAAACCGAACCGGTTTGGTTTGATTTGATTAGTCGGTTCGGACTTTTAGTCCAAATTGATTTTTTTTTTAATTTTTTTAAAAAAAAGAGTCCCAATTTTGGGTTCACTTAGATTACAAGAATTAACATAACTTAATAACTTTATATTACAAAAATTATCGACTAACAAATAAAGCCAGGTTAATGGTAAAAGATCAACAAAAAACTTCAGAAATTTTTATTTTATTTTTTTATGCATTATGTAGCCCGACTTACTGAGTAGGAAAAAAGGCAGTGTATAATATAATGAGCTTGTAAAAGAAAATTTCTCGTGCTATTATTTACTGGCAGAATTATAGATATGTGTTAAACGAAATATAGTTAGAAGATTATGGTTTAGCTTTTGATTTTTATTTTTCTTAAAAAAAGGGTAAACATGTAAGTGGGTTGTGTCGGATTGTTAACTAGCGGTTTGAGGTTTCAAACCATGACTGAGTCAACCTACTATGATTTTGTTTAAGAAAAAACCAAATACGAAGCAACATAAAATAAACCAAATTTGATATCCAGACCAAACTAATTACCTGTGTTAAACAGACCCAAACCAACTTGAGTTGGTTCGGTTTGGTTTTTCGATTTTTTTGCCCAGGTATATGTATCATATTTTTTACGCCTTTTTATTCTTTAATAGAAATAAGCCCCTGTTTGATAGCCATTAAAATGAGT